GGGGGCACCAATGGCCTCTGTCCAGAGTGCTGAAGTCACAGCAAGTCAGCTGGAATCTTCAGCCTCTTTGTTCTATATTTAAGTAAATAAACCTAGGGCAGAGGTTTTCAAGCCTAAGGATTGCCTTAGAACTCAGAAACTCTTACTAAAATGTTTAATTTATTCTAAGTATCTTTAAAAAAAAAAAACAGTAGCTTTGATTTTTAAAAAGAAATTTGACAGACCCTCTCTGGTAGTGCAACAGGTTAAAGCACAGCACTATGAAGCAATTCACAGCCACTGCAGCATGAGTTCAATCCCTGGCCAGGGAGGTGACCCACATGCTGCTCCCCTCAGCAGTGTATTTCAGTAGAGTCATCTGTTCTGCTCCCCACTCTGTCTCTGGTGAATTCTCTCACCCACCACACTTCTGGCCTGTGCCCCAGTTCTTGTATGCATAAATAAATAAATCTTTAAAAAATAAATAAATAAATATGACATCCTTTCAGAGTAATAACAAGATGTGATTTAGCAGCTGAGGAAGAAAAAAGCTTGTAAACTTTACTTGGTATGGATGAACAGTATCAGGTGGCTACAAAAAAACTAATTCATATAACCTAAGGCTACATGGAAAAATGTTGAGAGTCCAAGGAGGGAAGCAAGCCAGTACTTCCCTGCAAGCTCCTCAGAGGGAGGCACTGCAAACTGAAACTCAGCCAAAGGAATGGGAACTTAGTGGCTGGAATCAAACAAAGCAGAATTGGAACCCATGAAGAAGGCCTGATGGGTGTTCACCCTAGGGAGGATCAAATTCGAGAGATGCAGATGGGACAAATGAGGTCATTACAATCTCAAAGACAGAACTTAGACCAAAGGTGAAAAGAGGCAGATTTCTGTTCAGTTGGACCAAAAGAAAATGGGGGACCAGTTAGTGAAGCTGTGTGAGCATATGACAGACATTTTGAGGTGGGGGTGGGAAGCTTTAGTAGATATGTATCCTTCTGAGATCTACAATGCCAGTAAATAACTTAGTACCTTCTGGTGCACACCCAGCCCTGAGCCCAACTCCCTTGATGGAGATCCATGGTCATATTGACCCCACAACCTCAAAGTGTTGACATCACTACATTGGAAACCTTAATTTACTTATTTAGATACCTTTGATCAACTATTGTGCTTCTGGATCCATGTCCTGACCTAAAATAAAAGATCTAAGATCTCAATCTATCTGATAACCTCTTAGGTGGACTCTGGGAAACCTGGCTCTAGAAACTGATATTGCACGCCATCTGCTGGTCAATTCTAGCACCGTTCTCTCACCAAAGCAAGAAATAACTTTTGAACACTATAGTACTTACTGGTCAGTATGGATTAAGAAGATGCTTGAAGATGAGTTAGGTTGCCAATCAATATTCAGACAGTATACAGGATATGAAATGAATCTGTAGGTGAGTTCAAGTATCAAGATGATCTAGGAGGAGGACTTGGGTTGTGGCTGGGTTTAGGGAACTGTTTCATGAGAACTGTAACTAAAGTCAGTGTCTTGATGCTGAAGCCAAAGTTGGGACTCAAAAATCTAGTCTTAACTGGCTGATAAAGTTTGTATCCAGGTGAGATACTAGGAGCCTGACCTTTGGGAGGAGTCCATAGCTTCCAGTGTAATGGGGTCAAGGTATATTCCTACACCCGGTGATGTAATAAGCACCAGACACTGGAGAGGGCAGATATTGCCTGGAGGGAAGTACAGCATAAGGACCGAGGGACAAAATGGGATAGTTACCAACTTCTAAATGCCCCCAACCTGAAAGATGGTAAGTTCAATGGTTCCTTTCTCTTCAGAAGGTGGATTCTGATCTGTATCCTACTTAAGCCCCCAGCAACCCCAGGACTGTCACAAAATAAATCAGAGGTATACTTTGGGGACAGGAGGGACCCAAGGGCCATTCCCATCACTGCAGAGAGCTGGCAGTGGTGGGGGTAGCCTTCCTTTCCCCCAGGATTCTGTTTCCACTGGCAACAGGGCCTGGCAGCCACCCACATCCACATCTTAGCAACTGTGGGAGCCCCTGGCAACTGCTACCATGGTGACAAGACAGGGAACTGAGAACAGGCTGGACGGGAGGGTGCACTTCCTCTGGAGCCTTCAGGATGTGTGCAAGATACGGGCTCCCCCTCCCATACACAGTCTGGGAGGGAACATGTGCTCCTGTCCAAACACCTCCTCACTGGCACCCACTCCCATCCCTGCCCCCAGGTTCCGGTTCCCTCAGGGTGAGGAAGTGAGGGACACCTAGGGTTATGACGTCTCTATGGGGAGGAAGGGTGAGTGGGGGTGTTTGGAACTGACATGATCACAGACGCACATATATACCAACAGACACGGTATCAAAGTTCAACAGCCACAAAGCTGCACTTCATCCACTCACTGTCATGTAGACACGACCCGAAGAGTTGTTTAATCACACGTGTACACTAACACAACATCACGGTACCTAAAGCAAATAAAAAAGAGCCAGACACACTGCCACACAAAATTAATTACACAGATGCACTCACTCACAAATTGCATTACAGATATAATAGTGCCAACAGCTCCCGATCAGACTCACACATTTACAGATGCACTCAAACAGTCATATATCTGTGAATGCAGAGTAATAATTAATTTTCTTGAGCATTAACTACAACTACATGCCAAGCTCAGAAGTAGGTGCATTATATGTGCTACCTTAATTAGCCTTCACAACACCCTTATAGGTTACTGCTGTTGACTAGCCCCATTTCAAAAAAGACATGAGGCAAGTAACCTCAGAAAGTCAACAGTTTGACTCCAGAGCCCACATTCTTACACCTTAGGCCAAACTGTACCCTGGTTCCTGACACACACACGCGGTGCTCAGGGAAATGCAAGACAGGGTGGCAGTAGACACCAGCAGACAGTGGAGGTCAAGCTACCAATACCTGAAGGCTCAGTCCTGCCTTCTTGAGGGCTCAGCCTACATGTTAGCTTTAGCAGGGACCAGGTAAGGGCCAGTGACTAAACTCTCTGCCTCCGTGTTGGCACAGGCAAGCCTGGAGGAGGCGAAATAGAACTGGAATAGGAAGAAGCAGCACCCACAGCCCAGGCCCCCTTACACTGGAGGCGGGAGTGAGAGCCCCCAGATCTAAGGAGCCAGCACTATACTGGGCCTCCTCACCCTTACCCTGCCCATCTCTATGTCACACTATTCCACTCCCTCAGCAGCTCACCTCCCA